TAGGTCCATCAATGGCTATTAGCCAGGATGGGCAGGGATGGTGTCCCTAGCCTCTGTTTGCTAGAAACTGGAAATAGGCGACAGGGAACGGATCACTTGATGATTACCTGCTCTGTTCATTCCCTCTGAGGCACCTAACATTGGCCACTGTTGGAAGACAGGATAATGGGCTAGATGGCTCTTTGGTCTGATGCAGTATGGCCGTTCTTATGTTCTGGCCCCTGGGATTTTTAAAGCAATAGACCTTGGTCATCTCCAGTATGGAGCAATCTTTCCATACCATGTATGGCTGCTTTTTATATAGCACAGCTCATCCTCTCCAGCAGCCTAACCTAGCTCTCTCACACAGCCGGGAGTCAGGGTCACCCAATGGCATGAAATACTAACACCACTCACCTTCTTTTACCAAGCCAAGTATTTCAGCTGACTCAGTTGAAGTTTTAAGCTTCCAGCATTAGCATAAAAAGACACTTCATACCGAATATTGCCACCGCCTTAGTCTGAACCTCATTGAGTTGCAACCCTGCTTTTGGGGGGGGGGGGGGAGAGAAAGGCTGGGAACAGATGGGTGGACACCAATGCTTGTCTCAGAATATCCTTCAAATTCACTCTCTCTGACACACGCACTGAGACCCACCCATACTCCAGTGAAGTGCTCCTTGGTTGGGACTCTGTCTGCTCTTATTTAGCACATCCATGAATGACTAGGGAAGAGCAAACAGAGCTGTGACAGACCCCCGCCCCAAATGACAGCAACTAGGAGGGATGTGGCCTACGCTCCAGAAGAAACAGAAATCACTCAAGAGGTCCCTTCTGAGGTTAAAAACATTGTCAGGAAATAACTCAAGGGGAATCAGATCTGAGAAATGAAAAACAAAGACAGCTGGAAGGGAGAAAAGTATTTAGTGGGAGATTATGGCAATAGGAACACAAAGATGTGACAGGACAGCAAGCCAGCGATGAGCGTGCGATGGGGCTGGAAAGGAAAACCCAATGGGATTGGGAGCTGCATGTGCAGAGCAGGGAGGTATGGGACCCTGGTGTGCATGAAACTAGCCTATTGTGTTTGACAGAAAGTGGTGAGTCATTAACAGGCAATCATAGGAGAGAACTGGAGCAAGGAGACAAGCAATGCAGCTGAGCAGGGCGCTGGAGACATCTCTGCAGCTGGGGCTGCCTGATGCCCAGAATAATGGGGCCTGAGCCTGCTGTAAAGGATTCTTTGTACCAGAAGAGCCCAATATGCACTGCTTCTTTAGATGACAAAAAAAGGGGTAACTTGGTAGAAGTCTACCAACACCTAAAGGGTGCAAAAGCCCTGCGGAGAGGGGAATTATCCAGGCCGGAGGAGAAGCAACAGTTTTTTAAAAAGGAGAATTGAAACAATCAGGAAGACAGCTCTGCCAGGGAGATCTGTCCTTAGACCATGGAACAGACTTCCTGGGACAGCAGTCCCATCGCTGCTGGTATTTACACTGGCCTGGACAAAGCGCTGACGCTACGTCACAGGGAAGAACTCCAGAGAGGCTCCAGAGGGAGAGTGGCAGTGGATGGGCTAAAAATAACCTACCAGGTAACTGTTAGGTCACATATTTGGTCCCTTGTGGCCTTGGAATCTATTATCTCACCATCTTTGCCATCTCTGGACCTAATTCCCATTGCCTTGCACCAGTGTAGCAAGTGTAAATGCTGCCTGAGTGTGAAGCATGGTACCCCCATTCTGGCTGGCACAAGAGACTTTAAGAGCAGTATGTACTGATAGGGGTGGCTACAGGTAACACAGACAGACTCTGGAGAGAGCACCTTTTAACAAGGAGATGGCTTCTCTGGGCCTGTGGGTGAGCTAGTCAATGGACAAACTGTTTATTTGCAGCTACAGACGAATGTTTAGACTCCACCGTCTACCTTTGCAATGGCTTCTGGGATAACCAGGGAACCAGGACTGGCACAAGAATCAGGGCCTGCATACTCTGCTCCCCCCTGCCCTCAGGAGATCACTGTTGGCTGCTGGAAATTCAATTTTTGATCCAAAAAATGGGGAAGGATCAGAAGATTGGAGAAAAACAAATTTTCCACCATGTTCCCCCAAGGAAAGAAAAGGGATCTGGCCATTCTCCTTCTGTACCCCGAGAGTAAAATAATAGAGGATGGGGGAAACCACTACACATCTCTCAGCTATCAGAATCATGAGCAAGCAGGAACCGTGCATTGGTACATCAAGATTTTGCCACACAAAGCCGAGTGCTTTTTTCACTAGGCTCAGTGGCTGAAGGGATGTAGCAGACACGCTATATTTGGACTTTATAAAGCATGCAATACTCTCTCACATCATCATACTCTTAGAACTGAAGTCAGCTTTGGTATAAATACTAGTATGTGGATAGAAAGTGGTCAGAAGGGCCATCCAGAAAGGTTAATGACAGATTATGCTAACCCACACAATAGCAGTGCTGGACAGAGGGTGCAATGGGTAGGCTTAGCTACAGCCTATCTTTATTTATGCTGGGAAGGGGGGCACAGGCAGCACCGGAATGAAATTCAGATGAAACTAAAATGTGGGAGGGGCAGGAGGGAGACATACTCCAGGCAGAAAATACACGGTTCAGAGAATTGACGACCTAGTGGTTAGGGGACTAGCCCAGGACTGAGAGAACCCTAGTTCAGTCCCCTGCTCTGCAACAGACTTCCTGCATGACCTTGGGCAAGTCACTTAATCTTTGTCAGTTCCCTAGCTGTAGAAGGGGGCTAACAGTAGTGCCTGATCTCCCAGGGAGTTATGAGGATAACTATGCTAAAAGGGTTTGTAAAAAAATCCTTTACATAGAGCTAGGAAAGAACTAAACTCATACATCTGGGGGAAATGGTCCAAACCCCAGCTCCAGGTTGCGCTAGGAGGCCAGGATGCTGAAAGAAGCAAATCAGACACAAGGCTGCAGCGTGACAAAACTGGAAAAAGAAAACAATGCAGACACAGCTCAGGGCTGCATATGTAAAAACATCATCACAGCACCTGTCCACTAGGCCATGCTGATTCAACTTCATTCTGTTCCTGGGCACATTACCAGATACCGACAAAGTGGAGAGAGTCAGTTCAGAGAGGGGTGACAGAGTTAGCAGGGTACTGGATTGATAAGGAAAGATTAAAAGACCTAAATCTGTCTGAGATGGCTAAGGGGGGAACACAACAGTAACATCTGCAGGGTGTAAACAGCACAGAGAGAGAGAGAGAGAGGAGACAGCATGATACACAGATATATCTAGGACTGATGGGATGAAATTAAGAAAGGGAAAATCTAGATTAAATATTAAGATAAACTTTCTTGGTAATGAAATGTATTAGGCTGCGAAAGCAGCCCCCCAGAGTAGCAATGGAATAGCTATCTATCAGCACATTCAAGCAGCAGTAAACACGCATTGGAAAAGTCCTGAATTGGCCAGTGGCAGATGGCCCGGACACACTTAACCAGGGCTTTTCCATCCCTGCCTAGACTCAAAGGTGGAAATGACGAAGTAGGGAAGAGGGTTAAGACACATGAATGGTTTGATCTCCTCCTGACAGAAGCATGAGAGCTGCTCTATCCCGTCTACATGAATGAGGCAGGGTGCAGGGAACAAGGACACTGAAGGGAACTGCAGCTCCTCAGCCCTGGCTTTTATTGCTCACTGTTGAGAAGATGGTCCATATAAACGTGTAAGAGAGGGAAAGCGGGTGACTAAGTGATGTACTGGATCTCATCCTACCCCTGCTCACAGAGAACATAAGAAGTGGTAGATTTCCCCTCTGCCACTCATAAGAGATGACCACTGAAAAGCTGGTGTGGGAAATGCCTGCTGATTTGGCTCTCCTGGTTTAGAGCAGTAGGAATACCTTTATGAAAGAGAAACGGAGACCCTGGAATAAACACTCCACTCATACCCACTTGCAAAACAGCACAGAGCCGCATGAGCCCAAAGGGGTCCTACAGCTTGACCTAAAGTTTTCAAAGCAGTGGACTGGAGGGACCGCACAAGCTGAGAACATGGAGCGGAGGCATCATGTCCCATGCCACCCTGATAGGAACATGCCCTGTCAGGTCAGACTGGGCTTTATCACCCCAACCCCCCCTCAGCCCTTTTGTCTTGAGGGCTGGGAACTCTTTCCTTTTGCTGCACAGAGGAGCTTGCGGACCATTACAACCCACGGAGCAAAGCTTAGCCCAGGAGGAATGAGTCACGTTTCAAGGCTGGCAGAGAGACTGTCTCAACCACAGAAACGGAAAAGATTCCAATCAAGGGTTCCACATGAGCTGGATCTGACTGTAGCCTAAAACGGGTCATTTCTTTGTTAGCCCAAGAGACGATATCAGTGATATAGCAACTACCAAAAAAGGCCCTGGTTGGCCAGGTAATCGGTGACAAAACAACCATTTCCCTCCTCTCTGGCTGCCACTGTCCTTGTCAAAGGGCCCAGCTCTGTCTACAAGGGAGAACGTGCTTCTCCCAGACACTTGCTTTCTCTTTACTCTGCCATGCGGTTGCAGAGGTAGCCGTGGTCCTATGAGCAGCACTTAACTGACTGGGAAAGATTAGGGGGAAAAAACAAAAAAAAAAAAACCCATGCATTTGTGAGATAGCACAAAACATTTAAAATCGCTTTCATAGGGAGGGAATCTTTATTTGGCCCATGGGGAGAGGAACGAAGGGAGGAGTAGGAGAAAGATGGAGGAGGATCAACTAAAATGGAATGACTCAAATGTGCAAATACATTTCATAACCTCCCCTGAAGGGCCAGAAACAAGTACATAGACGAGACACACGTGGGTTGCATAGATCGCCATTTCCAGGGCAGCTCTAAATGCACCACTCCTATCGTATCATTAGTAACAAGTCAACCCTCCCAGAGTCAGTCAGCCAGGCTTGCTCTGTTAGTGACCAGTTTCCATCCAGGGCAGGTGGCAGGGTGAAGGCCAGAGCTCAGAAGGCATGCTGGGGTAGGACTCTCACACTCTGCTGTTCCCCACCTCCAAAGGCGCCTAGGGTCTCCAGCCTGCGCAAATGCTCCATGCTTCTGCCAAGAGCCTCTTCCAGTCGTCCACGGAGTGCCTGGGCCCTCTCCAGCTCAGCCTGCAGAGTCTGGCCTCTCTCAGGGCTAATTAGACATGTCATACAGAAAGGGAAGAGGGTTAGACAGGCTTCACAGAATGTCCACATCAGCAAGGATGCAGAGCAGTGGTGGTTAGACGTGAGCCAACACTTACTCAGAGCACTGCTCATCAGTGCTCCAAAGGTAGATCCAGCGTCGGCCTCTTCTGCTTCTCTTCTAACTTTTACCAGAAACAGCTGCAGGCGCTAGGCCCCAGCACCTCCCTCCCACATGGGTCAGGCACAGACTCCTACACCCACAGAGCAGTTCCCCCAGACTCACTCCCAATCCTCTGGGAAGCAGGGCAGGGACGGTGGCTTCCTGGCCATCGCTAGTTATCACCATTGACCCAGGTACCAAGAGAAACTCCATGTGCACATGGCTCCTTCAGCCCCGCAAACTGCTCAGCTCCCCACCACCACCTTGGAAGGCACAGGGTTTGCATGGTGGAGGGTAGCAACGTCAGTTACGCTGTTATGGAGGGGAATGACCTGGACAAACCACTAGAAGCCCCCAGCAATTTTCAGATCAATGATTTAACAAAGGGATGTGCAGCCTCTCAGATGTCAGGAGACTAGGCCAAAGGAGCAGGAAGAAATCAAGGGGAGAGAAGAGAGAATCTGAAAGGAGCATTAGAGCTCTGGGGTGTGATTAACTCCTGCTGTCTCGCCTGCCTCATGTGATCTCCTCTGCCATGGGAAGGATGCTGCCTTTAAATCAGCCACTCCCCAGCAGCAGCCCACCGAATAGTTCCCTGTTCACACCGGGTCAGCCCTTCTGCAGCACACACAGGCTCACGGACATGCTAGTGCTTCAACTTTTCCCGTTGAACAAGTCCTCTGGAGGGAGTGCAGCTCCAACACCTCGCAGGACCACACGGGCAGTGACAGCACAAGAGCAGCCCGAGGGCCCCCTACCTGTTTGGGTGAGTGTGGAACTTCACCAGACTGCTGTACAGCTGCCTTTCTGCTTGCAGAGCTTCATTCAAACGACTCCTCTCTGCCACCAGCCCTTCCAGCATCAGCAACAGCTGGGGAGAACGGAGGCAAAAAGCAACAGGCACAGAGGTAGGAGCTCAGCAAGGCCTTCACCCCCACCTAGACACACGTGAGAGGCAGAGTCCAGCCAAGAGACAGAAGTTGGTCATGTCAGGGACATGGAGATGAGATGCTGACCTCTGCCCTTGAGGGGGATCCAAACCACCTCTCTGTGCCACAAAGAGGGTCTGAGCCCCTCTTACACCTGCATGTACAGTGGCACACTCCCTCCCAGGCAAAAGCATTACAGTGCAGAACTGGCAATAGAGAACTAACTAACTGCAGGAACTGGAAACAGGCCTCAGCCTGCGGCCCATGAGATATCCCCCCTGTGGGAGATTCCATCAGAGCACGTGCTACCTGTTGCCTTCTGTTCCCTGTAGCCTCCTGTCCTCGTGACTCTGCTGTGACTACTTTCTCCCGAAGCACCAGGACTTCTTGGGTCAGTCGCTCCACAGCTGGGATTTCTTCAGGGTCAACCAGCTGCATCTGCAGGTCCTGAAAGCCAAGGAGAGCAGAGCTAGCTGGAGATCAACAACAGGAGACACCTCTTGAACGTCATACAAATCAGTGGGAGCCGGAGTTACAAAGGTCCCTAGAGACACTGGAGATTAGGGTCTCTAACAAGGGGAACTCCTATCCCTTCCAAGGGTGAGCCAGATAATTCAGAAAAAAAACACATTCAGGCGGTGTGCAGCACCAACATCCCAAAGCAAACCTTACTGTTGCTTTGTGCTAACAGGAGCCTGGCTCAAGACTCCAGACAGGATGCAAGGCACCCTGCATGCTCCAGAACTCCTAAACAAGGTCCAGGATGCACAGCAAGCGCACTCCAGGAGAAACGAGATCACCAAATGAGCATCTGGGCAGAATGCTGGGAGATTCCTCAATAACGAGATGTCATAAGGAGCCCTGGGTTTCCAACTCTTTGTGTTTTACAGGAACCATGGAGCGAGGCCCAGGATGCCAAGCCCAAGATGTTACAAGATCCATGCATGAGACCTCGACTACAGCTCGGGAGTCTCCTCATGCATCCACCTCATTGCTGATCTCTATGGAAACCTTGCTTCCTGGTTCTGACATTTTACAGTACACTGGAAGCCAGCTAGAGGGCTCGAGGTGGGGGGGGGGAAACTGGAGGTTCTTCACTAGCGTCCCTGGGCAGAGATGATCAGAGAGTATGTCAGGAGAACTGTAGTGATCCCACCTTTATAAGGTCCTCTTTGCTCTGGATCTTCCTGGTCAGGGACTCAATATCTGAGGCCTGCACCTGCAGCTCCTCCTCCTGTGCTGTCACCACAGATTGAAGAGAAGAGAGCTCCAACTACAGAGCAGAGACCATAGGGTCAGCGAAAGCTCCGCAACCCAGACACATGCCATAAACCCTCCATGTCACTGCCCCAATCATCCCACCCCCATGCCCCTAAGCTGTGGTGCTGGCCAGAGTCGTGAGTGACCTCCTTTACTCCGTGCAACACTACTACATGTTGTACAATGTCTCTATCTGAGTCTAAAGACAACATTTCTGAGAAAGGCAGAGGAGGGCCAAACTGGCCCAGGAAGGAAACTTACTTTCAGACTCATCAAGTCAGCACTGCAACCCCATAACCAGACCCTTTGTTCACCCCTCTATCAAGAGAGGTGCCTGTGGAGTTGATGGTCCCATTGCCATGGAGATTAAGGACCAGCATCAATCTGTCAGCTTCATGACTATGACACCACGTGGGGACAATCCCTAGTCCAGTGGTTCTCAACCTATTTATCATTGTGGACTGTGCTGGGCTGCAGGTTGAGAACCACAGCGTGCTTCCCCACAAACCTCCCTCCACAGATCCCTAGGTCTAGTGCCTCCCGCCCAGAGATCCCTTCACAGAGCGGGGCCAAGAGTGGGCAGGATGGCAGTGACCCCAGACCCTGCTGTGCAGGACTGGGCAGCAGCCCAAACCCTGGACTCGGCCACGTGGGGCTGGGTTGTAGGGCAGCTGGCGGCAGCCCGGACCCCAGCCCTCACCGAGCCAGCCAGCAGCCCCGGGCCCTGGACCCCACCAGGCTGGTGGGCAGCTCCGGACCAGCTGGACCACTGCGCTGGGTGACCAGGCAGCCAGGAACCTGGACCCCATGTGGACCAGCAGCCCGCTGGTTGAGAACCGCTGCCTTAGTCAGTAGTGAGGCATAAAGGTCGCTACACCAGAAACCAGAGCGTCCCCAGGATAAAGCATGGGCCAGCTACTCACAAATGTAATGAGCTTATTTCCTAAACTGAAACCATCTAGATATCTCTAGGGTGGAACACAGCAGCAGTTTAACAGTACACTGCTTGTGACAGGACGTGAAAAAGAAACCTATATCCAACAAAAATACAAGAGGACATAGGGAGGCTGAATGTAATCACCAGAGATGGAATCTGACTAGGACACCAGGGCTAGCACCTTCCATTCCCACGCAGGGTGCTACAGGGTCCTCACCAGAAACCAAATAATTAATACTCTATGCTTCCAGGGTCAGTACAAACACTGAGCGAGAGACAGCCAGTTCCCCACAGGGTGGGAGTATGAACACAGCATGGCTGTTTGAAAGCAGACCAGGCTGGATTTGGTCTTGAGTGAAATAAGCCTCAGACTCCAGACGCTCAGGGTCCCTCCACATACTCACCCGGCTTTCCCTTTCCTTTCTTGCCATTAGCTCCAGTTCCTCTCTGGCATTAACAAGCTCCTTCTCCAGCTCGGCAGCCGTCTCCAACAGGCCTGGAGAGGAAACCACAGCCCAAAAAGTTACACTAACATAGGGCTTGAATCATTTACCAGACACACCCTGGTTTTCTAACTGCAAGCATTAGAAACAGAATCATTTTCCAAATTAGAGCTCAAATCCTTAACAGAACTGGACGGAGATGGATTTTTCAAAGCCTTTTCTAATGCTCCTGCTCCCATAGTGATCCTCAACTGCCAGCCGCCCCAGAGTCCATTCCCGATGCCCTCCCCTCCAGAGTCCAGTGGCCCCAGCCCTGGGAAAATTCCAAGTATCCCCTACCACCCTCCCAGATTAACTGCACTCCTCCCAGTCAAGGAGGGCAGGACATTCTGACTAGCCCAGTGATCAGAAAACACCAGCTCCCACTCCCACACCAACTTCCTCCACTTAGCACTGGAGTCCAGAACCCATCAGTGATTCCTGAGCACCAGTCTCCCATCCCAAATCTAAGCCACAGTCATTGAGTGCCCCAAGTTTTATTCCCAGTATCACACCCCTGGGGAAGGACAACTCCAGTCAATACTCCTGGTTAGAGTTCTTTGGTGTCTTTGCAGGCTGTTTGTCACATGAGACAGTTCTCCCCATAGCAAAAGCCTTGTACGGACTGGAGAGAAGCTGCCGCTGTACCGACCTTTCTCCATCCTGAATTTGCTGTCCTCTCCCTTGGAAATTCCGGTAGTGGTAGCATTCCCACAACCTCCTGGCAGTAATTCCTGAAAACACAAAGCGATTCCTGGTTTTACCCCCTCAGAGATCACCCTGTGCACCCTGCACTGTTCAGACCCGACCACCCACCTCCAGACCTCACCATCCAGTGCTAAGACCAAACACGACACATGCTCACTGGTCACAAAGACCATTGGCCAAATGGGGTTTTCAGTTATGAGGGAGCTGACCAGAGGACTGCAAGTTTTTGGGGCTCCCAGATCCCAGAGGAATGGACGGAGACAAGCACAAATGGGATTAAAGCTTAAATCTGGTGTGACAAACAAGCCTGGGAAGTCAGGAAAGGGACTCCAAAGAGAGGCGTCCAGAGCAGGAAAACGGGTTCTTGGTCACTGCGTTTGGGTTAAACCAAGGGGGACTATGTAGCAGGGACACCAGAGAAGCGGCTGCAGCAACAGTGCAAGAGATGATCTGAGATAGCACTACGGCTTTAATAGCTAAAATGAAGAGGAAAGGATGAACCAAAGCTGCTGTCATGAAAAAGCAGCAGGATTTAGCAATGGTCTGGTTGCAGGAGGCACACAGAGGAATCAAATATGCCCACAGGCTGCATGCATGGGCAACAGTGCCGGGACGGGGGATTTTCCATGATGGGTAGCAATCTTCAATCAGAGCCTCTCCTTCTTCCAAACATCTGCTAAATCGGACACTCTGGAGGTGCTGACAGTGACAGTAAAGGTTACAAAGCCACTCCCAAGTCAGCCCTGTTTACGCTCCCCCAGAGCCCTCTGAGGAACTTCTCTGGGCTGAGCCATACTAGCTAGCTACGTAGCAGAGATATTTCTCTGTGCAACTCAGCATCGAGAATTCAGAGGTTAACAGTGGAGCTCAGCCCAGAGGCACAATTTTGGAAAGGTTAAGGAAAGTCTTTCCAGCTCATTGTGAGACACTGGGGAGTGGAGACAAACCACCAATGGCCTACTAGCCCCTTCTGGCCTAAACTCCATGATTCTAAACTCTGTGACATGTCTTACAACTTTAAACAAAAAGTAGATGTTTGTTCACCAAGAAACAACTGAAATGGTTCCAACAAAAGCAGCCTGGCTCATGCTCAGTGATAAAGGGTATGACGTTGCTCTCCATAATGTTGTATGGAAATATGCTTATGAGTATAAATATGATGTAACTGGAATATGCTTTATGCAAAAAGTCTCTTGTAAAGTGTCATTGCAAAGGTTATAATTTACTGTGTGTTACTGAGTGTGTTCATCCTATTTGTTTGCATGTATTATTTCTATGTCTGGAGTTAGGAGAATAAGATATAAACTTGTATTACTGATGTAAACACATTAAGTGGAAGCCTTTAATGGTGCTTCAGAATCAATGAACTGTGAATGGGTTTGTTTACTTGCAAGCCTTCCTGTGTTCGTGTAAGCCAGCCCAGGAAGAATGGTGGAATCCATCTTAAACCTGGTGCTTTTCCATTTAGAAGGAGAGGTGGAGATCCAGAGACACAAAAGATTCCCGCCTTGTGCCAAAGCTATAAAAGGGTGTGGAAGAGAACAAAGGAGGCGGCCAGTCATGAGAAATCCCCTAGTTACCACCTGAGCTGGAACGAACAAGGACTGTACCAAGGGAAAGGACTGGGCCCAGACTAGGAAGGAGTCTAGTCTCTGGAAGTAGCTTATTGGAACATCTTTGAGGGTGAGATTTTACCTGTAAAGATTTCTTAATGCATTAGGCTTAGGCTTGCATGTTTTTGCTTTATTTTGCTTGGTGACTTACTTTGTTCTGTCTGTTATTACTTGAAACCACTTTAATCCTACTTTTTATACTTAATAAAAATCACTTTTGTTTATTAATTAACCCAGAGTAAGTGATTAATATCTGGGGGAGCAAACAGCTGTGCATCTTTCAGTGTTATAGAGGGCGGACAATTTATGAGTTTACCTTGTATAAGCTTTATACAGAGTAAAATGGATTCATTTGGGGTTTGGATCCGATTGGGAGCTGGGTGTCTAATGCTGGAGGCAGGTGACCTGCTGAGAAGTTTTTGGTTAAAGCCTGCAGCTTTGGGGGCATGGACCAGACCTGGGTCTGTGTTGTTGAGCCAGACACGCTAGCCTGCTGCAAGGTAGGGTTCTGGAGTCCCAAGCTAGCAGGGAAAACGGGCTCAGAGGTAACTTCAGCTCGTCAGAGGACAGTCCCAAGGGGGTCTCTGTGAGAGAACCCGTCACAAAGGGGTTCCCAGCAAAGTGGGTTTAAAAACACTTGACAATTGAGGATGAAATAATTAAATGTGGGTACATGCGACAGGCTCTGCTAAGAATTAGCAGGCTTAAAATTAGTTCTTCCTGCTCCCAGCCAAGGCTGGACCATGACTTTCTGGGAGGTTGATTCCCCCCCTGCATCCTTTTTGGGGCTCCAATACTGCCCACACCAGCAGTGTCTGCTCTCAGCAGATCTGTGGGGAAGGGGCTGCTGAGTGACTGAGAAAAAGCTGTGGAATTCAGATCAGGATGTTCTGATCTCAGCTGGCCTCCCCTTAGCAGGGAGGGTCTTTTCTGTTTGTGCCTAGCACAACGGGGTCCAGGTCTATGAGTGGACTCCTAGGCACTACAGCAATACAAATAGTAAATATCAACAGCTGCCAAGGGCCTCCATGTGACACGCCCAGTGCTCAATCACTCCTCCCTGCCAAGTGCATCTCACCCCCCCCTTCTGTTATCTCTCTGCATCTGCTTTCTTCCCACAGGCCTCTCTCTCCCCTCTGCTGCTACAGCAATCACTTCTCTTCCCCGTCCTGAGGCAGCATGCAAAGGACAGAACAATCCAGTGCACAATTCCTACTTGAAAGGGCTGCTTGTCTTTCTGGAGGAGGATCCTGCTATCAGCTGCTAGGTTCTTCCCCAGCTCCTTCTCCACCAGCCGCTGGCGCAGGAATTGTACTTCACCACTCTTTTCTGTCAGAGCCTGCACCATCTTCTCGGCAGCCACCTGACGCAGCGGGAAAGCAAGGTGAGAGAAGAGAAGCAGAGGTGACAAAGAGTTGGGTCTCAGGTGGCCACTGGCACAAATCGTGGCCCTGACTCCTTGCTCTGGCAACATAAGGACAGATTTACCGATCACTTGCTGCTGGACGGAGATCAGGAGTCCCAAGCCAACCCTAACCGGAGACTTTGCTATGGGCTTTGTGGCAGCACACACAACAATCAATGCTACAGCACTGCCATCACAGCCCCCTGCTTTCACTGACCCAGCCTTTGCTGCATAACTTTTCAGCAGTGCTACCAAACCTTTGACTGGGATGGTGAAAACTCACCCATGGCATGGGGGCTGTGGAGTGCAGCAATATGGGAGGAGGCCTGGAAGGACAGAGGGGATGAGGATAGAAGCTGGAGGAGAAAAGGGAGGCAAATGCTGTGAGGAGATAGCTGGGAGCTTGGCTTTTTAATCCTGTTGTTAAAAAGGGAAATTCAATGCAAAACTCCACTGACATTTAAAACTGACCACAATGCAGAGGGTAAGACTCTTGTGGCAATATTAACTCCCTGGTAGTGCACACAATAGTCCCGAGTACTAGTTTGACTGTTAAATACAGCTAATATACAATGGCCAGAGCTCCCCCCATGCTGCCCCTCCACCCTTCTGATTCTAGGCAGGGCAGATGGCTCCACCCAGCTCTGGGGAAGGGCTCCAGGGTTCATCCTTCCCATGACTACTGGCCAGGCAGTGGTGGTACGTGTGCACACAATGCCCTGTGAATGTGTACAAGCTGAAATCTGTACACCTTCCTCTCCCCAACCCCACAATATGCACATGCAATCCCTGATCTGGGTGCACAAGAAGTGCCCCCAGGTTTCACAACGTAGGTCTGTGGGGCACGTGGACAAGCAAACGCTGCTCTATGGTAATAATTCTGTGAATTTCCCACAGACAACACATTGATATTTGTAACCTTACTCTGCATTAACATGGGCAAGTGGGATGTTCTCACTATTATGTGGTTCTGAAACATAAAAGACACTTCCTGCAGCTCCCTGAATGGCATCAGAGACTGCAGACCAGTTTCCACACAACAGACCCATCACAGCCACGCTGGTCGGTGGCTGCTCTGAGTACAACTCACTCGGCTTTGCTGCTCCCGGGCACTCACGGCTTGAAGCAGCTCCCGAAGTTCAGTCTCATGCTCTCCAGCTTGTCTGTACCGGTCACTCAGGAGATCCTGCAGCATCCTCTCCTTACGCTGGAGACGCAAGCACAGCTCCTCCACAATGTCACCCTGCCCTGGGCCCAGCTTGCAGAGCAAGGTTGCTGTGAGCTCCTAGGGGAAAAGGAGGGAGAAAGGGGTTGAAATGTTCCATCTCCATGCTCAGAGAAGCCTGGCACTTTGGGATGAATGGCTGTGCAGCCTGGGAGCACCCCTCTGATCATGTGTAGTCACCATCAGAGAATCTACGCACAGCAAGCATTTATGCCAACGCAGCATTGCGAGAGCCTGCCAGGATTCCAGGGAGCAGCTTTCCTGGCTCGCCCCCGCTCTTCCTGCAGCACATATGGAAGGGGCTGGGCCATGCATGTCACTCAGAGGCCAATGTGCCTCTGTGCTTCCATTCTGTAGGGAGAGCCTTTGCTTCCACAAGCTGGCAATTGTTGGTGCTCTCAAATTGAGGACTATGCTAGTTTAGATATTTTTACATCGCCTCCGATGTGCTCCCTCCTCTGCACTGCGGCCGAGAGCACAGAGATTTAAAAAGGTGACACACTGGGGAATCTCCAAGAGGAGCAGAGCAGGGCTAAGAGTCCCACCCACACACACACACACCCCACCAAATCAGGGTAATGAGTCTGACACCCCCTCCAAGGGGAGCAGGATGGCACAGTGGCATTGAGTGAGTGGCCCAGAGGCCTGGCAGTAGTGCTCAGGGATCCCACCCGAAGACGGAATGGATGGAGGCACTGCAGCAGGGAGCATGGGCCTTACTTCCACTTCCTTGTTCCTGTCATGCAGAGAGGTCTGCAGCTGCTGTATTATCCCCTCCTGCTCCTTCTGCCAGCTGCTGGATTTCGCCTCGACTTCCTCTTTCAGCCACTGGAGGTTCTGGCAGGTTGCCGACACCTGCTCTAGTTCCAGCGTCTTGGCTTTCAGCAGGCTCTCCATGCTCTAGGGACCAGAAAGAAAACCAGGAACACACTGAGGCCCAAGTAGTTTCTTGTGCACTTAAGTAAACAGGATTGAAACTATTCAGTCTCTTCTACCCTTTTGTGCAGCCCCAAACAGCCATTACATTCACTCCCTAAGGAAAGTTTCCACCTCAGCATCCAGCTGAGAAATGCCACATGGAACAATTAGTTTAACCACTTCCTTCCCCAGATGCAGGAGGCCATCAGAAAACTGCCTCATGGGGAGGGATGAGGATGTATGCCAGCCAGTATGCTAAGCAAACACTCACCAGAGAAAAGCCAGGAGAATGAATAAAGGATTAGCAAACATGCCTTATAGTGACAGACCCAAGGAGATCTATTTAGTTTAACAAAGAGAAAGTTAAGGGGTGACTTGACCACAGTCTATAAGTATCTACACGGGAACAAATATTTAATAATGGGCTCTTCGACCTAGCCGAGAAAGTCTAACACCATCCAATGGCTGGAAACTGAAGCTAGACAAATTCAACCTCGAAATAAGGCATAAATCTTTAACAGTGAAGCTAATTAACCATTGGAACAATTTCCTAAGGGTCATGGTAGATTCTCCATCACTGACCATTTTAAATCAAGATCTTTTCTAAAATTGTGGGGCAGGTCTCTGGCCTGTTTAATGCAGATCAGACTAGATGATCACAGTGGTCTCTTCTGGCCGTGGAAGAGATGAGGCAGCCAAAGCACTAACATAAGGGGCTGGCCACACCAATGGAATGAATGCTGTGGCAAGCTGAGTCGGGAGCTCTGGTGATCACCGACACCATAGGTGCACTGCACAGGGAGGGGCTCACACTTACATGAATGGTGGCCTCATTGCTGGACAGGACGCTGCGCAGTCTCTCCAAGTCGTGCTCCCGCTCTCTCTCGGAGAGATGGAGCTGTCTCAGCTCTTGCTCTCTCTCTTCCACAGCAAAAAATTTTTGATCTATTGCTCGCTACAGGGAGAGAAAAGGAGACGTAGAGGTCATAGAGAGACTCCCTTGCGTGGGAACAGCATCCTGAATTCTCTCGCCATGCAGTCTACTTCACACTAGGTGGGAGAACTCAGCTCACTCTATGGGGGCGGGAAAGTGGGAACAGCCCCAGGGAAAGGGAGAGGAGGGGATACCAACCCGGGCAAGGGAGGTCAAAGCACAAGGGATGCTGTGCCTACCCACCCCCACAGGACCCCAGGGACTGAGCTCAGGGAAAGGACAGGGAAGATTGTGCTGGAATGTCCTGTGCTTACCTCCAGAGCAGCATCTCGGTCTTTGACTCGCTGCTGCAACTTCTCCAGCATAGCGTCAGTCACCACAGGGTTCTTCTCCAAGCTCTGCCAACACTGCAGAAGTTCCCGGGATTCCTGAAGGGGCCCCATAAGCACACATCAGCACAGACACCAACATTACTGAGCCAGTGCCGGGATTTCTGAGGTCAGAGCAAGGAAAGGTCAGAGAACTTCTCTCTGACCTCACTCTCCTCTCTCCATACTCAAAGGATGGCTGAGTCCACAGGTCAGGTCAGTGTTATTCTGTCTTATTCCCTCCCCAGTTAGGGCTCGCCAGTATGACTCAGCCCCAGCTACAGGTCCCTCCCTGTGGCTGTAGCCAGAGGGTTGCCCTCAGACTCCAATCTCTCTGACGACAGGCCCTGGAGAGCTGCACATAGTCACGTGGTTGCCAGCACTCAAATTCCAAGGTGAGCCTAATCCCTGATTCGCATCATTTTTCACCTCACCTGCAGAAGCTGTTCTTTGTGAGCCAGCCTCTGGCTCAAACGCTGAACACGCTGCTCCTCGGCCCGGATCTCACAGCACCTCTCCCCCTCCAGGGTCCGCAGCTGCTGAGCCTTGTGCTGCAGCTCTGCTTGTACCTGCTGCACAACACCGCGCAGCTCCTGAAAGGAAACACACTTCTCACTTCTTTGCCATAAGATACTCACTTCCCCACTAGAAGCCAAAAAGCTAACAGGAAGCCCTGTCAGTCAGTCATACCAAAGATGGAGACAGCCTCAGGAGCTGCTGTTATCCTGTTAAAAACAAGGAGTCTGGTGGCACCTTAAAGACTAACAGATTTATTTGGGCATAAGCTTTTGTGGGTAAAAAAAACCCACTTCTTCAGAAGCATGTTTACCTTGTGAGATTCAACAGGATAAGGGTAGGCTGGGCTGCAGGAGAGCATACCACAAGTTCAGTAGGATTCAGATGTTATAGGCTTCTGTCATTCAGATCAGAAAACTGAGAGCCTGACCTCCTTCCACAGGAGATGGGGATGCTAACCCTTCAGCAAGCATATGGATGGAGCACCGAAGAATATCTCCACGTGGTTCGGCTTATGGAAGCTAGGCTCAGTACATGTGTAGCACACATGTAGATGGAGATAGGGTTTCCACAGCTGCATGGACAGATGTCAGTGTGGACCGTGGCTGAGTATGTCTCAAGTTGCGGGTTCCTATTCCCTACCTCCATTGCTATGGAGTTTTATACATTTCCACATAGACACATCTGATTACTTACCTACATGCTGAGTAGGAGTTTTGTACAGCACAGCCACCAAAGCAAACTTTCAAACATTTATTACTTCTTCTTTGAAATTACACAGAGACATTTAGTGATTTTTAAACTCTAAATCCGTCCATCTCACCAAAGTGACCAGCCACATTCCTCTTTAGTTCCACGTATTATTTTGTGCCCAGCGCAAGAATGGTGCAACTAACTCTTAACTTCTTCAGAAAGTCACTATCAAAGTGGGTCCAACCACATGAAGTTTGGTAGTGAAACTGACAAGCAAATGGAATTGGGGTTCTGCACTCAATTCCCTAACTGCACTTTTTTTTCCCCGCAAAGTGAAAATTTGTTGGTGACTGCACAACTTTAAAACTGATGAAAACTTTCAATCTCAACTCTGGCTAGAAAAGGGGATTTAAAAAATGGTTCTTACATGCACAGGAAAATTTTTAAGTCTACCCCAGCTAATCCACTGAAGAAAGAGGAATACAGCATCACAAAAAGAAACAGGACATTTGTACCAGTTAAAACATACCAGTAAGTGCCACTACTGATCCACTGTATTCAGTCTTTGCACTGATTGTGTGCACGTACTACTGAATGTAAGCTAACATGAATTAGACAGAGAATGCACAGCACAGTACCCACTTAAGACATTCAGCTAATATAAGCATTATGAAGGTCATTGGTTTGCATTCTTCATATGCAAAAACACTTTACTGTCATTTGCATGTGGCATCAGGCCATGCTCAACTGCTGAAGCATGCCGTACCTGATTGTGTTTCCATGACACCTCTTTCAGCTGCTGTTCCTCCTGCACAGCAGCCTCGAGAAGCTGGGTAGCTCTCCTGGCTTCAGCCAGTTGGTGTTCTTTCTGCCGCTGACCCCTCTTCAGCTGCTGTATCTCCAGCTGGGTGCAGAAGAGTGTGTTCTGCAGATCTAGCAGTTCCATGTGCTGCTGCTGGGAAGGGGATAGCCCCTCCGAGGTCTGACAAGATAGAACAGAAACGTGAGAGTGTTTTAAGCGTGAGCTCACGAGAGCTGTTCAGAACAATGAAGGAGCCTGTGACAGTGAAATACCCAACGCTTTTCAATTTTCTTTTAAAGGCAAAGGCCCCTCACTTCTGGGGGATGGAGGGGCCCACAGGGAAGTACCTGCAAATGTCCAAGCTGGCTTCTATGTAACATGTCTCGTAGTTTGGCCATGTTCTCATTCTGCCCTTCAATCACATGATACAGCTCCTCTGTCTGCAAGATAGGGGATAGGACACCCAACCGTTAGCAAGCCCCACACCTCAAGGAGTCTTGGGCACAGATTGCCTCTGCCTGTTGTAAGTGCTTTGACAGAAACAAGTCACAGAAGAAATGAGCAAGGTCCAAGGATGACTGAAGGGTTCCTTCTGAATTGCTGCTAGAATAGCATGCTTCCCTGCATCCACATTTCCTATACAAGGGCACAGCACCGGCCCTCCCCAGCAGTGCTAGTTACCTCACTTTCTTTGCTCTTCAGGGCCTCATTCAGACTCTGGATTGTACGATCTTGTCTCTGGGATGCTTCCTGGACAGATTTTAATTCAAAATTCATCTCATTTAGCTTTTCCTGCAGCAACTGAACACAGAGAACACAACGGTTTAGTTACCAAGCCCAAAAGGTCCTCAAATTGCCCCCAAGAATCCCTCCACACCATACCGAGTCCACAGAGCCCAGAGGTTCCTCTTTATTTCCCCAGACCAAGATCAAAGTGGCTCCCTCTGAAGTCTGGCTCTGCTGCTCCTGATCTGGGTGGAGAAAATAGCAACAAGGCAATGCAGGGCCTTCCCTTCTTTCACAGGGACTGAGGCCAATTTCCAGCCATAGGTGCTGACTCTGGGGCTAGAGCACCCATGGGGGAAAAAATGGTGGGTGCTGAGCTCCCACTGGCAGCCTCCCCATCAGCTTCCTCCCACCACCCCAGTGGGCCCTGTGGATCAGTGCCTCCCCCTCTCTCCCCATGCCTCCCCCCGCCGCAATCAGCTGCTTCGCAGCATGCAGGAGGCTGGGAGGGAGGGGGAGGAGTGAGGACATGGCATGCTCGGGGGAGGGAACTGAACTGGGCAGGAAGAGGTGGGGCAGGGTGGAGCAGGGGTGGGAAGAGGCGGGGTGGAGCCTTGGGGGAAGGGTGGAGTGGGGGCAGGGCCTGGGATAGAGCTGGGGTCACGCAGCCTCCGGCACTTTGGAAAGTCAGAACCTGTGCTTCCAGCCCCCAGTGATCCAATCTGAGGGAGGGGCTGGAATCGTGGCCTCCAACCCCATGCATCTCAACACCTTGTGCATCCTCCCGGAGAGCCCTGCTTACTTTGTCTGATAGAGTCTCCAACACTCAGCTGCCTAATGCCATTCCCAGTTTCGATTACTCGTTTCCCCAACCCTTTCAAAAGGGGAGGAGAGGTTCCAGCCCTTGGTACTCCTGGAGATCTGGAACCTCCAAACAGAACCCACATATCCCAGAGGCCACTTCCTTTCCCTCCAACTCACCCAGTACCGCTAGAGCATTACAGCTACATATTTACACTCTTCCTCCCTTTCTCCAGGTAGCACCCTCCATCCAGCCACTCACTCTTGCAGCAACTGCCTGGATTTAGGCAACACCATACTCGAGCAAATGCATGGTCCATCCAGCCCAGTGTCCTAGCTTCAACACAGTGAAATCCTCCCCAATGAGTCAGGACCACCTCAAGCTGGTGCAACACCCATGCTCTTTATTCCTGTGTCTGGTTCCCACCACCAAGCTCCAAATATTTACAGAGTATTTACAGGTTTGACCTAGCACAGGCCTCCATGGCAACAGGGTAGCAGGCTCCTGGCTCCTTCTGAGCCTACTCTCCCCTCTTGGCCTCCGCCCTGCCCTCCGGACTCACAGCCTCCCAAGCATTTAGCCCCTGTTAATGAGGCTGGCAGGTGGGGCCAGTTTCCAGGCCAGTCCTAGCTAGTTACCCAGCCCCAACCCATTTCCCTGATTGGGGCTGGAGTGGCAGGTGCTGATTAGGGGGTCCCCTGCCACACAGAAGTTTTGCAACATCATGGCTGGAGGGGAAGGCTGGTTTATGCCCTGAAACATGAGTGCCAAAGCACCTCCTATGTTTTCATCCTCACTAGTGTAACAGAAGATAAATCTTTTCCTCAATCCTGCTCAATTGCTTCCATAACAGCATGTGGAAGTGACTTCCACAGATTAAGTTGCTTAATAAAAGTGTTTATTTTAATCAGTTTTAAATGTTGCCTTTTAAACATCTTTTATTATGAGAAGGTAAATATCTATAATGGCCTTGATACCACACTCATTCTCAAATACTCCCAAATGACCATCTCTATACTGCTCATTAATTTATACACCTAGCACGTTACCTCTTATTTGGCTTCTTTTGAAACTAAATTGCCCTTGTCTTTTTAATTCCACACCCCTAATCATTTTCATTGCTGTTCTCCAGACCTTTCTCTTTTGGAGTTATCCTTCCTGAGCAAGGCTGGCCAAACTGAACTTAAGTGTTCCAGCTATGGACGACAACGGATTTATACAAGGGCACTGTAACAGACTATGTTTAGCAGTGTTAAGAAAGGGGTGGTAAAACACTTTGCAATTTTTCCTGCTGCTGCACGCTGAGCAGAAGTTTGCATGGAGCTGTTCACAATGACTTCTGTGGTGTTTTCCTGATCGGTTACAGTTAATTTACAACACCACAATGGGCATACATAAAACCAGGTATGCCTTCCCATGTGTATTCATTTAACCTGCCACTAGGCTGGCCATCTTCTTGTTCAGCTAATTTTTAATTCATGCCCTTTAAAAGGATGCTAGGGCAGGCCCCTCTGCAGGCTGACTTCCTTCACCCCACACCAAAAGGAGGCCAGCTGCCTCCATGGCAGTTTCCCTCTCTTTGCCTGCAGAAGGCTCACCATAGAGAAGCAGCAGCCAAGAAGCCAGAGCGGGAGGGGCAGGCAGTGGGTGGAGCTCAGGGATATAGGCATCTTTCTTCCAATGGCTCTATGGAGTCCCCCTGGCATAGGGGAAGGTCTTTCAAACACTGCTTTAGAACTGGCATAAGGAAGGAAGCTGCATAGCATAGCTATAGGAAAGGAAGCACATCCTAGCCTTGTTGAAGGCTAATAGCACCATCTCAGTTTGGGCAACTTCCAGTGCCTGCAATGACCCTTCATGGCTATTGCTAATTAAGGTAAACGAGAATCCTCAAGAAGCTGAACATGCTGCCAGTGAACAAATACCTTGTTGGTGGAATTGTACTGCTGGATTTTGTCCTGCAGCTCAGCAGCGTGCGATTCAGACACATGCCCACTCGCCACAGAGTCACACTGAGTCAGCTGCTGATGGTCCTCAGGCAGATTCTGGAGAGACAAAAGAGAGGATGGGTGGCCTGAGTCCTTTCTTGGTTTCTGTTCAGTGCTCAGAGTGCTGGTGGCCCTCCTAACCATAGGTGCCAACTCTGTGGGTGCTCCGGGGCTGGAGCACCCATGGGGAAAAATTAGTGGGTGCTCTGCACCCACCAGCAGCTCCCCGCCCCACTATCCCAGCTCACCTCCACCTCCTCCCCTGAGTGCACCTTCCCCACTTCTCCCTGTAGCACCCAGCGCTTGCTGCTGCAAAAGAGCGGTTTCGCAGCGGCATGCGCTGGGAGGGAGCAGGAATGCAGCGTGCTTGGGGAAGAGGCGGGGTCAGGGCGGGGATTTGGGGAAGGAGTCCAATAGGGGCAGGGATGAGGTTGAGTTGGGGTGGGGTGGGGACTTTGGGGACACGGTTGGAATGGGGGCGGGCCAGGGGTGGAGTCGGGGCGGGGCCAGGGTCGAGCACCCACCAGGGCCGGAAAAAGTTGGCGCCTATGCTCCTAATGTGGATTTCAAAACATCTGCTCCTTATAGCCACCTTCTCAACATCCTGCCACCTGCACCTCCACCCTCTCTTGCTGCATGTCTGGCTGATCCTTCAGGGACCTCCTCCCCTTCCAAGGGTCTGGTCTTGGCCCACTGTTCTCACTTTACACCCTCTCACTGGGTGATCTCATCTGTTCATACAGCTTCAACTACCATCTCCAGCCAGCAACTCACCAATCTACTTCCCCCACTCCAATCCCGTCCCTCCCGCGTGCCTAGCAGTCAGCTTAACATGGCCAGAGCGAATTTAGCTTCCTTCTGAAACTCCCTTCACCTCAGACCACCACCAGTTCCTCAGCATATAACCCAGGATGATCGCTGCCTCCTCCCTTGCCGTCACACCCAGCCAGTCCTGACACTTCATCATCAGGACCTGACCTTTTCTGTCCGACCTAACAGCAAACACTCTTGTTCAGGTCCTTACCTCCTGTCCCTATTACTGTAATCTTCTCAGGGGCCTCCCTGGCACCCACATCACCCCCTTCAATCCATCCAAAATGCTGCTGCTACTAAGATCACCTTCCTCACCACCGGACTGGAACCTATTTCCCACCCTCTTTGAATCACTAAACTGGCTCCTGTCTACACAATGTCCAGCCCAAGATTCTTGTAATCACCCTTCACGATTCTCCATAACTTAGCTATCTCCTTCTGCACTCTCCATGCACTGCACTGATCTCCTCCTTCCACTCCCCGTGATGCCAACCTCAGTGCCCTACTTTATCCACAAATATCACTGCCTGCACCCACAACATGCATGGAATGCCCTTTCTAAGATGATTTGTGAGGCCAACACTTCTAGTTCGGGTCTCCCCACTTGCTTCTGCCACTAGGCCTGAAAAAGTTAGCCAAGACAGACATCAATTTACTTGGAAAGCAAAGAAAAAAAAAAAAACCACACCTTCCTTGTCGCAGCATTCTGTGTGCCAGCCAGCACCCGCTGAGTAATCACATAACAATCTGATTGACACTTCTGTCATCGCCCTCCTTACTGTCTCACTCCTTCACATCAAATTAGGCCTGTAAGCTCTCTGGGGCTGAGTTCAGACCCATTCTGTCTGGAAGGTGAGAAGCATGCTTTTGGGTATCAGCAGCAATAGTAAACAACGATTATCAGGGAAAATGCAGCCACTGCCCAGATTCACTATTGCCTTCCTGCTGAAGATTTAAGAATGCCTCGGCCAGACTTTCTGGAGTAGGAGCAAGGAACAACAAAGCCAGCTCCAGGCAACCCTACACACAGCTCACATGGCAGCTCACTTTGACTAGCTCTATTTCACTGAGTTTTCCTCTCCTATGACCATAGGAGATGGGTGGCTCAAAGGAGTGGGTGCTTCCCCAGCAACAGCAAGCATACAGAAGCCCTGAATGCCTGGGGGCAGCACACCGCTCTTCAGCCTTTGAACACTGGGTATTGTTTTCTCTCTGCTGACTGATTTTTGATTCCAACCTTCTCCTGCTCCCCCCCCCCACTGCACCCCCATTCCTTCTCACCCTCCTGGTCCAGTCTGATATTCTTCTTTGCCTTCCTCCTTTATTCCCCACTCCCCGCCTCATATTCTCGTCCTCCCCCTCAATGACCCTCTTCCCCTTCTTTCATCCCCCTCTTCCACTTTTCTGTTCCTGCACCCCATCCTCTCATTTGCTCTCCCTCCATTCTTCGATAATAAGCTAAAGGGGGACAAAAACTGTACCAACAAGTCTATGACTAGCACCACCCTGACCACTTTGCTTGAATGCGATATTCCTTCCCCTCCCAAGCCTTTAATTTTTCCCAGTTTCAGATGTAAGCTCTTCAGGGCTGGGAGGCTGGACCCTGTGTTTGTACAGCAAACAACATGGTGGGGAAATGATCATGATACCTGGCAATATAAATAAATCAAATAGCAAGAGCTGCAGAGGCACTGCTGCATTCTGTCTCTGGGTTGCAGTGAGATACTTAAGCACCAACATCTCTGGTAGATTGGTGAGAGTGTACATGACCTCTGAAGGATGGAACAGCACAGACTGCTGCATGCACAGACTGCTGCTGAAGAGCAGAAAAAGGGGGAAGGAACCTTAAGGCAGCTCTGACAGCCAGAGATGACCCATATTCTACGAGGAGGCTGTTAACAAGAGTCACGCTGCTGGGAAAGCAATACAAGGAGCCCTCTGCATTTGAATAATAAAAACCTAAAAGTGGCCCAAAACACTGACTGCAGTCATAGCTAGATGAGATCAGCTAGCCGCTGTGTCACAGCTAGTTACTGGTTAGAAAAATCAAGAATTACTGGCCACTTGTTCTTCAGTCCCTCTGCTTTTGTAAGAGCCTAACATCCTGCCCCAAATAATAGATTTGAAAGGTTTAAAACAGATCATTTTGGCTGAGCTTTGAAATTTGGTCTAGACCTAGTCCTCAGGAGGGACAAGAGCCTTTGCTTGGTTGACAGCATATTTAATGCTGTAAGCAATGGGGCCAGCAATCACTTCTGAACAAGTGCCAGGGACTTAAGGTTTTAATAAAGCTCTGCACTCTGACAACCCTGCATATTGTTCTACCTGGCCTGACCAGGAGCCCCTGAGCACAGACAGAGGCTGCTGCTAGCATATCTTACAGGAGGCAAACTGTAACTTTTTAGTTAGGCTGCTGAAAAGGCACAAGAAAAAGCATAAATTCTCCTTCCTCCCCAATTACATTATTTTTAAAAATTAATGTATTTGAATAATTGATACACATTAGGAAATTTAAAAAAAAAAAAAAAAAGAGAGAGAGCGAGCGCGCCATGACCAACTTAGAAGAGCCAAGTCGTGGCACTTAGGATCTGCCATCCTTAATTCTTCATTACTGGGGCACTACTGCACCAAAAATAGAATCTCTGAACCCAAGAATTTTTTCTACATTGGCATTTTCTAAGTTTTCCCCCGCAGTGCACCTGCAGCAGGAACAGCAGCAATAGCAGCGTTAGCATAGATTGCCCACTTGCCTTTCATAACCACCATGTTGTCTAACCCTGCCAAGAGCAGGTTTGCACAGAACAAGGGTGAAAGCACTGGCAGCCAGTTTATGCCAGCATTGTTGCTACTGCCTCTGGAGCTGCAAGGCTGAAAGCGGTTTAACATTTTGCAGAAAATGCCAGTGCCAACCAGGCTTAAGAAGTCATCTGCCTATCAGCTCTTAATGCTCTGAGACATCCTAATTGCGATGAATGAACCTAAAAGGATTGCTATTCTAGGCAAGGAACAAAGATAAGAAGCGTATCAGCTTCTTAGGGCAATGCAACTCCTGTGATCAGCAGATTTCCATGTTAATGGAACGAACACAATATTTGGTTCTTGAAGAGTTGTTTTCATACTGGGGAAAAGAAGGAAAAAAACATTTATACAACAACTATTTACTTTGCTGGCAACTGACTTTCCATTTCTAGTATAAAAGCCATCTAGAGTGTGAGTAAGAGCTTTCTCCTTCTGCCAGATCCAGCACTGAATCCTTGAGTGCTGGTGATACCATGGCAACAAAATGTTAAGAAATTGGAAGTTGCAAATTCAACATGATGAATCACTGCAGAGACAGACATGTGACAAAGAAAAACCTTTGTAAATAACTCTGAGATGTAACAAAGATGATAAGACATGAGAGAAAGCCAAGCCATTTAAATCCATATACAAATTAATGTTTGTTCCACTTTTTAAAGATGTGCATTAGGAAAAAAAAATCTTATTAATTCTGTACAAATGTCCCCAGTAACGAAAAATGAGCAGTCAGGGATATAGAGACTATAGAATAGGGCAGAAGCTGCAGCACCGTTCCTCACTAGAAGGTTTTTCAGGTGGTGTCAGCAGGTCTTCAATCATGAGCTACAAGTGGATTGGCACTGAATTTGTTGCTTTTGTCAGTTTGTGTTCCTCCATTGCACAATTTCTAGCCTGTCAATAAAGGCACGTCATAGCTGATGCAGAAACAGTACAGGTCTCTGGAAAATGTCAGACTAGAAAAAGAATCAGCAGTGCTCTCTGAATAGGAAATGTATCCACTGGCTACAGTTGCCATAGTAATAAACAAGCATCTTTCTAGTCCCAGAGGCTAGCTGGCACATTAGACAGCACTAAGACTGCTAATGTGAATGCAATTAGACTGACATGGATATTCCTGAATTGAAGCTGACTAGGGCTTTCTATTCATTAACATAGTAGTAAAGTAGTTACAGGTGTAGTTTTCTGGCCACATACTAATCAGGATTTTAAGGCCTGGCAAAACAGAGAAAATCCAGAGCTATATGTGGACTGGAATCTACACAGCGGGCAAGACACCTGGAATTCCTCTGAAAGCAGAGTCTTCAACTCACAGGCTTTTGGTGGCATCTGCCACTAATCACTTGAACTTTTTAAAGGATCAGGAGGCAAACCAAATATCTAGAATGCCAGCCCTAAAATCATCCACTGAAGCAAATCCATCTCAAAGATGACAGTCTCTGTAGGTAACATACCAGTGTACTCCTGTGTGCTGTGTACATTTGAGGACTGATCCTTAGAGGGAGGATTATAGTTTAGGACTCTGTCTGAGAGGAGAAAAATTCCTGATACATCAGAACAGAGCAGTTATAAAGGCCGAAAGAAATCAGCACTTAGAAGAGGTCTCTGGCAGCTTACAATTCCCTTTAGTGGAACTTACAAATTTAAACCAAGTTATAGAGAGTAGCAAGGGAAAATAAAGTAGCAGTATTTGTTTGGTAGGAAACTAGAGGCAAACTAAAACTCAGACCCACACTAGCATACTGTCTTTGGAAGTAGCAGGAGAGAGAGAGAGAGAGAGAGATGTGAAGACTCCAAGCCCCAGAGGGCTCACTTCTTCAAAACACAGCAGGGAGACAATACCTGATCATGGAAAATGAACAGACTGCATAGAGGGGGTACAGTTAAATAGTTAATAGGCAGCGACCTATTCCTAACCTGAGTTTGGCTACACTTAGCTATCCATATGATCTCAGCACATCTGAATCCACAGTGGTCTCAGGATCAGTATTTTTTTAAACTAATGTTGTACATTGACCTCTACCTGTACCCGAAGCGGCAGATAATCTTCACAGAGATCGTCCCACAGCTCCTGCAGGTCAGAAAGCTCCAAGGGAAAGGGTTTTGTGGCTGCACTGAGGAAACCAGAACCAGCATTCACTGAGCCAGGAAGAGCACTTCCATCCACCAGGTCACGGCTAGGCTTGGAACATGGCAGGATTGATTTCACTAGAATAGGTAACCTGCTCCCTCTGGGACTCTGAACAGGCTTGTAGTCAAAAGCTTTGATCAGGCTAAGGGCTAGCTCCAACCTATTCCCATACAATGACGAGTTTGGAGTAGTACGGGCATCTGAGGAATCATCACACTTCTCGCTCCCTTTTACACCTTTGTCTGCTTCCTCATCCTTCTGTCGTGGAGGGCTGACCTCCACCGTTGCGTCCAAGGATTCAACAGAGGACCCAGGAGTCCCCTCCTCCATGCTTTCTTCTTCCACAGGCACCTTGTTATTTCCTGAGTCAGCAGTTATAGGTTCACAAACAGAGGATTCCTCATTGCATACACTAGCTAGCCACCTGGTGGAAGGCCCACAAGAGATACTCCTGGCCACCTTTCGTGGGACTCTGCAAATCGCTTCATAGTCAGCATCTGCAACACGTAACACAGCACAGCCATGGCATCGCCTTTGGCGGTTACCCACACTCTCAGAAGTGTGACAGCTATGCGGTTCTATATGTTCGTCATGCTCTGTCCAGCATTCAAATCCAGAATAGGCAAAGTCCTCCTGAAGAAGGGCCGTGTATCTGATATCAGGCAGGCCAGAAATGTCCACAGTCACATCCCCAACAACTTTGTCATCAATACCAGAGTTTTCATTATTCCTCTTGTACATGCTGGCAATGCAAAACTTGAGGCGATCCTTCTCCACCAGCAGCTTCTGTAAACGCTCGATGGAGAGGGCTTCGATGCGAGCGATGACCGTGTCAAACCTGTAGATGCGGTCCAGCATGAACGCACATTTGCTGCAGGCAAATTCAGCTTTGCCATCTCGGCAGAGCTCCTTGCCCAGGACATGGGAGAGAAGCACCTGCAAGTTGAGCTTGGCAGCCGTGTGGAATATCCAGCGTCTCTGGTTGCCACAGAGCTCCCGGGCGCAAATCCGGCAGATCTCCCTCATCTTCCTCCTTAGCACCCAGACCCACACCCACGCCTGCTAGGAGAGTCCTCCCTGCTCACTCAGTTGATCTCCTGGGGGCATTCACTGCGACCCCCTCATCTCACAGGCTCCCCCCCACGTTGGGCCCCCCCTCACCCCACAGGCTGACTCCAGGGATCCCTAACCTCACAGGCTGCCCCCCACCCTGGAGATCCCCAATCTCACAAGCTGACACCAGGGACCCCTGACCCCACCTTAGGCTCCCCCTGGCCCCCCAGGCTGACCCCCTTAGGGAACACCCTGATCCCTCAGGCTGTCTCAGGGACCCCTCAGGCTTCCCCCAGAGTCCCCCTGACCCCACAGCCCTTCCCTTGGCGATCCCTGACCTGACCTGACCCGACCCACCCCACCGGCACCCCGCTTGTGGCTCGGGGCGGGGCAGGGCGCGGCCGGCCGTGAGGAGGCAGCAGCCCGCCACGACACCTCCCGCCGCCCGCGAGGCACCTCCTGCCACTGAGGCTCTTTGATTACGGCTCAGATTTCAAGATGGCTCCGCCGCGCATGCGCGCCCGGCCGGGATTTCTGGGAGTTGTAGTTTCTATCCTCCGCTCTCAGCCTAGTAGCGCGTGCGCAGAGGGAGCCGCGCTGTAAAGCGGGCCAAAGGATGGTACAGTCTCACCCAACCCCGCCCCAGTTCTCATGGGAGATTCAGCACAAAACCCAGCAGCCAAGAGGATCCTCAGTGCCACACAGAGAACCCCCCCTCCCCACAGCGCTCCCCCCCGCCTGAGCAATGCCCTCTGCAAACCAGTGACCCTACTGCACGCCCAGCCAGTGACCATGCCATGCAGTGCCACCTGCCCTACCTTCCTGCAGCCAGGGCCTCTCACCACCTGCTGTGCCAGCCACCCACAACTCACCACGTGTCCTCACCCGCTGCCAGCCGCCAGCCACTGTGTGCCGCGGCACTTCCCACCTGTCGCCCAGGTACACGCACATCACCAGTCTCCTGCTACCAGCAGGCCCTGGTACCACTCGACCCACATGTCAGTGCCAGCCACATGTTCCACCATTGCGCACACCCCCAGCACCAGCCATACTTACCAATGGGCTCCTCACTCTACCCAGCATCACATGCCAACAGGAGTTGCCCAACACTCAATCCTATGGGCTCAATAGGATTGAGTTGCCCAACACTCAATCCTACCAACCAAGCCCAACCAGTACTAGCGCCCTCCTCCCAGGGCTCCAGCCAACACATCCAACACCCTGCAGCACCTAGATCCACCTGCCATGTACCCCCCACCTGCTCACACAGCTCCCTGTGCCACTATCCCAAAGCCCTGCACAACAGTAGCACCCACTCTACCCAGTACACTGCCACTTTCAGAGCTAAAACTTTAGTCGTTCAGGGATGTGAAAAAACACACCCCTGAGCGACAAAAGTTTTAGCGCTGAAAAGCACCAGTATAGACAGCGCTTTATCACTGGGAGCACCACAGTGCCATCACGGGGGGGTGAGGGTGGGGGAGAGAGGACCATTGCTACAGACACGCAAGCCGCATAGGGGCCAGGGCAGAAGCCGCAGTCTTGGAGAAGTCCCTCCCTTGATTCCCTGCTGACCCTCAGCAGCGAGATATCTTCTATAATGATCACATCCTGTGGAAAGTATGGGGATAGGAATGATTATCAGCCCCCGCCCCAGTACTGGATCTCTCCAAGAGCCACGTGCCCAGCATACAGAAGTGTCTGGGAAGACTGATTTATCCTGCCCCTGTGGCTACTCACCATTTGGGGGGTCTTGTGGCTCATGTGTGCTTCCCTGGGGTCAGCCGGTTAGTGACAGGTGTGTGAGTACTTGCTGTGTTTTAAATCACTGAATCAGTGTTCTCTGTGTTGTAAAAAATACTGCTTCTGTAATATGTTGTGTTTAAACTTCACAGAGATGACCTTGGGAGCCCAGCCTCCCTCTTTGTTACCAGTGGCTGAACGGCTGCACAGAATTAGAAAGCAGCCAAGAAGAACTAAGGAGGACTTTCTGCATGATGTTACAATGCACTCCACAGGAATTGAAGGAGTGGCACGACAGCGAGAAGAGGGACTGAAAGGAGAATGACAGGTTTCAGAGGACCAGCCGTGTTAGTCTGTATCTGCAAAAAGAAAAGGAGGACTTGTGGCACCTTTGTTAGTCTCTAAGGTGCCACAAGTCCTCCTCTTTTTTTTTTTGAAAGGAGAATGCGGAACACCAGAATGAAGCCACGGAGCCGCTCTTAAAGGTTATGGAGCTACAAGCAGACATGCTCCAGGTGATACTAGCTCTTCAAACCGAGCAGCTCTGCGCCCACCCTCCCCTGCAGCCGCTGTCACAAAACTCTTTCCCATGCACCCCCCAGACACCGCTAACACACTCTTATCAATCTCCTGGATCCAGTCTATATCCCTGGCATTCCACTCCTCCCCCATCACAGTCCAGCATTGCGGACTCCCACTACTCACTGCACTCAACACCCATCCCTCTGCAGTTTGGCCCTGAAAAAGTACAGTACCCGCTGCATTGTACTCCAAAGGAGAAGGCTGGATATGATCCCTGGACATACACAAATCTTTAGCCATCCTGGGACACCCCTTCCCCCATCCCCCTCACTGATGATGGGTTTTTTTGGTTTGCTTCTCTCCTCCAGTTGTTGTTTTTTAATAAAAGAATTGTGTTGGTTTGAAAGCAATCATTATTCTATTAATTGAAAGCAAAAAGAGCCCTGCAAAGCAACATACAATTATGTTAAACCCACATATTGCATCGTCAGCACCAATCACCTCCTAGCATTACAAACACTGCACTCCCGAGTATAGCAGCAAATATTAGCGGCTTTCAGCTTCAAATTGCTGCCTCAAGGCATCCCTGATCCTTGTGGCCCCGTGCTGCGCCCCTCTAATAGCCCTGGTCTCTGGCTGTTCAAACTCAGCCTCCAGGCGCTGAGCCTCTACAGTCCAGCCCTGAGTGAAGCTTTCACCCTTCCTTTCACAAATATGATGGAGCGTACAGCACGCGGCTATAAGCATAGGAATATTGTCATTTGCCAGGTCCAGCTTCCCATAGAGACAGTGCCAGCAGGCTTTTAAACAGCCAAAACCACATTCAACAATCATTCTGCACTTGCTCAGCCTGTTGTTGAACCTCTCCTTGCTTCTGTCATGTTGCCCCATGTATGGCTTCATAAGCCACGGCATTAAGGGGTAGGCAGGGTCTCCCAGGATCAAAATGGGCATTTCGACTTGCCCTATGGTGATCTTCTGGTCCGGGAAGAAAGTCCCTGCTTGCAGCTTCCTGAACAGGCCAGTGTTCCGAAAGATGTGTGCGTCATGCACCTTTATGGACCAGCCTGTGTTAATGTCTGTGAAACGCCCACGGTGATCCACAAGCGCCTAGTGAACAATTGAGAAATACCCCTTGCGATTAAATTTACTCAGTGGCTAGGCGGTCTGGTGCCAGAATTGTAATATGTGTGCCATCTATCTCCCCTCTGCAGTTAGGGAAGCCCATTTGTGCAAAGCCATCTACAATGTCACGCACGTTGCCCAGAGTCACGGTCTTTCAGAGAAGGATGCAGTTAATGGCCCTGCAGATTCCCGTCAACATGAGTCCAATGGTAGACTTTCCACTCTGAATTGGTAAGTGACGATCAGCATCAGTCTGGAGTTGCCAGCTTCCACAGTGCAATTGCCACGCGCTTCTCCAACGACAGTGCAGCTCTCATTCTCGTGTCCTTGCATCGCAGGTCTGGGGCGAGCCCATCACACAGTCCCATGAATGTGGCTTTCCTCATCCAAAAGTACTGCAGCCACTGCTCGTCATCCCAGACATGCATCACGATGTGATCCCACCACTCAGTGCTTGTTTCCCGAGCCCACAGGCAATCTCATGGCACAGCTACTATGCGTGGTGAGATCAATGTCACACTCTTCTTGCCTTTGCAGTTTAAGGAAGAACTCCACTGCCACTCGTGACGTGTTGGTCAGAGCAAGCAGCATACTGGTCAACATTCCTGCAGCCCGAAGAGGCAGGGTGCACAGCACACAAACCGTTGAAAGATGGCGCCAAATGTGGAAGCACAGGGATTGCTAGGAGGGGAAGCAATGCATCACAGGGCATTGGGACAGGACCCAGGATGCCTTGCAACCCCCTCCGCATTCTCATAACTCTTAGCAGCAGAAGAGAAATAGATGCTCTGTGGGATAGCTGCCCAGAGTGCACCGCTCTGAATACCGCGGCAAGTGCCACAAATGTGAACACGCTATTGCGCAGGCAGCTGACAGGCAGCTGACACACAACCGCGGTTTCCCGTCAATGCTCTCTGAGCAGCGCTGTAACTCCCGGTGCTGTAACTCTGCCAGTGTAGATGTGCCGTAAGTGTAAGACAACGAGCAGATGGATACAGCAGACAAAGGGGAGAGTGTGACCCAGGGATCTCTTGATGCCAACTGGCAGTGGACACAGGCGATGCACTGGATTCTACAGGGATCCCTGTGTCAGACACATGCACAATAATTCACTAAGGGGTGGTAGGTGAGGTCTCTCTCTCTCTCCCCAAGAGCCCACGGGTCATCATAATCATTGCAAAATGTGTGTATGGATAATGTTTAAGGAGTTAGATAACTGTACTGAAAACTGTTCTTAAAATCAGGGAGGTGAGGCAGGTCATCAGAAGGTGACAAACCTCAGACACGTTTGTTACAGGCAGGAAGTGAAAGATGCTTATCTCTGCATCTGATCAGGTGTGTATTGGGGGCCTCCCAATGAATGCCTGTTCACCTACTGAACCAAATGCCAATCAAGAGATTGTGAAATCTTCATGAAAGGAAACATATAGGAAGAGAATGGATTGTGGGGGTATAGCTGAGGATGCAGAGACACAACCTGGATCTTTCATATGGGAGGCAAGCTGACAGCATGACATGCTATGAATGGAAGATCACAGCCAGTGCTAGCTGTAAAATGCAGGAAAAATGCCTTTTGCTCTGTAAGGCATGACAGTAACTAGCTAAGCATCAGGGGGTAGCTGTGTTAGTCTGTATCCACAAAAACAGCAAGGAGTCCGGTGGCACCTTAAAGACTAACAGATTTATTTGGG